GGGGGGTGGGGGGGGGGGGGTTCTGTCTCCTAGTAAGGGACACGCTCCGTCATTAAAGGAATGGCACCTGTTATGCAGCCAGGCAGGTTTCACGGGCCTGCAGATGCAATAGAAGTGGGGATAGAATAATCAGACTTTACTGGATTCTTTTATTCCCGGCCCTGGATTAATAGCATCCCTGGATTTAGCCATTGCCTATAGGTGTGGGGATGTAGTGAATAGCATAGCCAAAATAATTGGCATTTGTCGTCATTAAAGGAATGGCACCTGTTATGCAGCCAGGCAGGTTTCACGGGCCTGCAGATGCAATAGAAGTGGGGATAGAATAATCAGACTTTACTGGATTCTTTTATTCCCGGCCCTGGATTAATAGCATCCCTGGATTTAGCCATTGCCTATAGGTGTGGGGATGTAGTGAATAGCATAGCCAAAATAATTGGCATTTGTCAGTTCTTCTCCTGCAGTCAGACGGGAAATCCGGGGTGTGATCTCCCTCTCTCTGAATAGAAATAACACTCTGTTTACTCACTTTTTCGAGAGTATCTTTTGTTAGGGTTCAAATGTTCCGTGCCTTTAAAAAAAAAGGAAATCCCAATTCAACGAGACCCTCCCAGATCGGTGTATCCATCGCCGATCTACTTATGTAAGAAGCAAATACAAAAGAGCGGAAACTCTGTTAGGTCCATTCATATGAAGAAAAAATCCCAAAAGTGAATTTGCAAACTATTGCAAATGGGTTTGCAGCTTTTTATTTACAATAAATGCTTCCCATCACTTACTATTAGTACCCAAAAGTTCATAGGAATTTATCTGAGTAGTTTTCCTGGGTAAAATCCTTATTCTTGTACCCGAAAGGATTGTCTGACCTTTTAAAAAATTAAATTATGTTACGACCTGACTTTTTCCCTATCCCAGCCATCAGCACTTTATTGTGACTTTCGGAGCACAGGTGGTAAATATTTTCAGAGGCTCCCCTGTAGCTGGTAAAGAATTTCAATTTTCAAAAATGCACGCAAAACAATGAACTCCAGTATTGGACTGCACAGAAATTAGAGAACAAACTGAACCAATTGTCTAATAAAATAAAACTCTCTCCTTTGGCTTAAAAAACCCTTCACTCTTCAAACTCTTTAATAGAGCGGTTGATGAATAAATCACACCGAGCTCGAATAGTCAAATGGAAAGCGAGGGTTGGACTTATTATTAGCCACCATCAATATAACTAATTGAACGGAAACGCATGTAAAGAAAAAAATGTGCATTATTGAGAACAGAGATATAGAAAAAATAAATACATCCTCCCGTCTCTAAAATCAGCACTTTACTTTTTTATTGCGTTTCACCAGTAAAAATACGTTACTTTCCCACCGTTATATACCAGGGGGAGGGGACAGAAGAGCAAGGGAGAGGAAAACCGATCCTTTGTCATCACTGCAAAGCGATGGAACCCATGGATCTAAAAAACCAACTCATCCCGCGCCCGTTTCCTGAAATAAGAAAAAACAATTACATTCACAGGTTAAAGTAACAGGCACACGTGTCATATGATTACATACACACACACAAATTTAATAAACATACACTAATACGCACGTCATGATTACATACACAAATTTCTTTGTGTTTGTGTATGTAATATACAATTTTATACCTAAATGAGTGTGCCCATGTTTCTAGAATTGCGTGTATATATTTAGAACTATTCTGTGTATATCCACACAATTACACACACGGTGGTGTAATTATATATTACAAACGCACACGTTTAATATGTGAGTTTGTTTGTATAATACACAGGCGCGTTTATCTCTAGCGTTTAAATGATAATTGTCTTTATTCTAGACCTCTGAATTGCCACCAGACCAAAATGCCACTTGTAGCGCAATTTGTAGCCTCTCGCCGTGTTCAGGAAAGCTTCTTAACAAAAATATTTCGGTGCTTGTGTGCGGGAAAAATATCAAAAAGGAGCCGTTCTTCGGGACATTTCTAGAGCTGAGCTGTCTGTGGAGCTAGTCACGCAAAGGAGCCGCCCGGGAGAACAACTCGACCCAATTTGAAGCAGCCTCTGAGTTTGTTCTTTGTGCGCGGGTGGGCGGGGGATGTCAGCCCGGGGCAAACTACCCCCTTCCTCCCAAGAGGAAGTCCGTGGGGTGGCAGGACTGGCCCCTGGGGAGACGAAGCAAATGGATGGGCCCAGCTGCGCGGGTTGCCACGCTAGGTACACGCCACGCACCAGGCTGCGCGGCGCGGGGCCGCGGGCGCTGCAGCCCCCCGCCGCTAGCCCTGTCCAGCCAGGGCGGGGGGGAGGGGAGGC